AATTTAACCCACTACTTAGCGATAAAGTATAAACTCCAATCTTGGTGACAGGTGTAACTTTCCTATTCCCCATGATTAAGTTTATTCTTCCTTGCTCCACATTCTCACTTCTTCCTAGTCCCTGCAAGTCACAACAAATATGAATACCGCAACCGGTATCAAGGACCCAAGATTTCGAATGGGGTGAGTTATTAGAAATGATAGTGTAAATACCTGCATGGTTGGGTTTGACTTTCCCATCCTTCACATCCTGCTGGTACTTTGGGCAGTTCCGCTTCCAATGAGCTTTTTCATGGCAATAGAAGCATTCAGCCTCTTTTGGGTCAGAAGAAGGAGTAATGAAACCTTTCTTGGTTCCACTTGAAGAAGAGCCATCAAGGGTCCGAGCCTTGGTACCCTTCGAAGATCTCTTTCTCTTCCTCCCTCGACTTTGCCCGATTGCCAAGACCGGAGTTGAGTCTGGAGTAGGAGTGATAGCAACCGACTTCCCCTTAAGACCTGTTTCTGCGGTCTTGAGAAGTCCCTGAAGTTTGCTGAGGGTGACCTCTTCCTTGTTCATGTGATATGTCATGCGGAATTGATCATAGCACGATGGTAAGGAGTGCAAAATGATATCTATTGCAAGCTCCTCAGGGAAGTTCACATTGAGCTTCAGCAAACGATCCACATACCTTTGCATTTTCTGCATGTGGCTCGTGACGGACTCTCCGTCCTTCATCATGGTTGTTATCATGGAGCAGATGACTTCGTACCTCTCTTGTCGTGCACTTTGATGGTATCTTTCCATCAAATCTTGGTGCATTTCATAAGGGTAGAAATCTTCATAAGACTTTTGGAGTTCAGCTGTCATGGTGGCCAACATGATGCAAGCCACCTTGGTTGCATCTCTTTCATGAGTATGAAAGTCAGCGATCTCCTGGGGAGTTGCAGTGGACTCGTCAATTTCCTTAAGCTCCTTGTCAAGGACATATTCTTTGTCCTCGTAGCGGGTAATCATCCTGATGTTTCTGATCCACTTATTGAAGTTGGATCCATCAAAGGTGACTTTCCCACACAGACTCATAAGAGTAAAGGAGCCATTAGGATTCGAGCCAGAAGCATTATTTGAAGACATCTGAAAAGAAGAACAAGTTTAGTTTAGATTTAAGAGAGTCCTTAATAAAACACCCAAATGTAATATTAAGGCTAGGATCCAATCACAATATAATATAACTTAGAAGAGGTATGCCGTAATCTAAGCTATACCATATTTGAAAGGTAGGTGAATGACGATTCACCAATTTCCACCACGAAAACCGAAATATTAGATATTTAGTTTTTATTGGTTTTAGAAATTCCTAGATTCTTTGAGATCCAATGAACTTTTCAAAGGCATGTTTCAATCTCGGGAGTGCCCTCCAGGTTTTGTGACTGGGATGCCGAGGATCACAAAACGAGGTGTGAAGTAACCATGCAAATCACTTGGTACCCTTAAAGTTTATCACTCAATCGATGTGCCGGTAAACCACACACGCTCCACCGATACTATAATAAACCTTAAGTCACCCTTTACCTACCTTGTTAAGTCCAAGTTAGTGTGCCGGTTAACCACACACGCTCCACCAACGACTTAGACAAAGTGTAAAGTGTAATTTCATGGATTAGCACCTTATTCACATTTTTCCTAAAGTAACTAAGATTGGGAATTTAATAAACATTTAGTTACTTTATTATATTCATCATACTTTGAATGAGAATTTATAAGTCCTTGTCTTACCCGTTCGGCTAACGACCCTCCACCAGTCAAGCAAGCGGTGGGTGAGAATTACACCCATTAAGTCACCATTTTATAGGCAACAACCTTATACCCACCTTATAGACCGGCTTCGTGAATGAGGCGTACTAGCGGTAAGACGACTTTATTCTTATACATATATATATAATTATTAAATTATCATAATATAAGTATAAGGGTTGAATTTTAACTTTTAAAATTCTAGGGGTTGGAACTTAAAGTTTTAACTTAACTTTACTTGTTCCAAAACTTGAGGGCAAGTTTTGTAACTTTCAAAACTTTTCATTTCTTGTAACTTATGAGTTTAATAGAGTAATAAAATGAAGACTCTTCATTTTTCTAACTCTTGTGTTTTCTTAATGGTTTTAACTCAAGTGTGACTCTTGGTTTTCCATAACTTAAGGATAAGTTATGGACTCCATTAAAACACATTATGATCAAGAATTAAACTACCAAATAGGTTACAAATAATTCCTATGATCATCTAAAACATCATAAGAACAAGAACATGAATATGAACACAATCAAAAATTACATAAAACTTTGTAATTTTGATAACTAGTTGTTGTAAATGAATTAGCAAAGACATTACACCACCAAAAACAAGTTTTCAATTACCAAAACAGTTTAGGGTAATGTTTCTAATTCATTTTCCAGCAACTGAATCGAAATTCTGCACTCATTCGACCCTACTCGCCGAGTGCATAAACTGACTCGCCGAGTTGGTTGAAGATACTCATGGACTCGACGAGTCCCCCCTATAGACTCGACGAGTCCATTCGCAGACAGCAAATTTCCGATTCTTTTTCAACTTTTAAGCACAAATAAGAACAAACAAGCCTAGGCTCTGATACCACTGATGGGTTTTGAGCATTCTAACACTTCCTAAGTGTACATGCAACCCTAATAACCTTGGATCTATGTTTGTCTAATTGTCATGCAAAGTTGAATTCCAAGGTTATATTCCTATCTAGCATACATGGGAACAATTTTAACATAAAGTATAGATAGAATAACTTACCTTGTTGTTGTTTGTGTTCCTTGAAACCTTGTGAGCCTAGCACCCCAAGTGTGATGCCTCAAATGCTTCACACAACACCAAATGCTCTTGGAAGAACTTATGAGAGAATACTCACTTCTCAAAATCGGCCAAGCCCTCTTATTTCTTAGTGTAGCCGATTTTGGGTGGAGAATATGTTACTTATATAGTGTTGACACATCTAGGGTTAAACCCTAATGTGTCATGACTCTTCATTTCCATGACCCATGGGTTTGTAACTCCCATGGAGCATCCATGGAGCATCCTATGGGTGGAACCCAACTTGATAGTCCATGGAGCCTTTTAGCCCACTATACAAGATATGGATGATTTACATAATCAACCCATATATTTAATTAGTTATCTTTTGATCACTTAATTAATTCTAAATTAATTCTTGATCAAACTAATCAAATAATATTATTAATATATTAGAACTTATAATATATTAATAATCTCCAAGTGTTATTTCTCTCATTTAGTCTATCCAATTACATGGTGCCATGCAACCCAAATGGACCATGCCGGGTCGGGTCAAGTACATACCAGAAATAGTTATGGACTTAGACACCTTATCCAACAGCCTTGTCGTTTCATATCAGATTATCAGGTGCTTTGTGCACATTAACTAATATAGATTGTAAAGCTTCTATAGTGTTAAAAATATCTTTTATATTTTTCACAGCTTCTATATATTTAATAACAGTGTTAAAATTTTTTTGGGTAATTTTGGAAACTGTATTCTATTTATTTCCATTATTTGTTAGAATAAATGCATAAAAATCATAAAATCGGGTTAAACTATTTAGAAACTCATTTTCATATTTTTCCCAGCTTAATTATGTTTAATAGTATTGTTATAAAAAGTTTGGGAATTTATATCATCTAGATACTATTTTTCATGAATTTATATTGTTATGAAGGCTTAGAATTTTGGAAAAATAGTTAATTACATAAAAAAATTCAAGGGAAAATTTCTGGAAGACTTTTACTATGTTTGTAACGAAAATATAAAGTTTTATAAATTTTGGAAACTATTTGATAATATTTTAGGATTTTAGGAGTTTAAAACACCTTTAAAGGTATTGGAATACCCTCAATTAGTATTACAAAAATCTGGAAAATAATATCCAAATTTATCTTAATAATATGAGTTATAAAGTATCAGAATTTCAGAAAAATTGCTACCCATTTACTATAAAACCAATATTAGAACAAAATTTTGGCATTTCTCTATATGTAGTTATTAGTATATTAGCATTAGATTTCGACATAGAAACTCACTAGCGTGTGTTTGATGTCGTAGGATCCCGGTAGTAAGGCGTTGGTGTATTTCGAGGCACCACTTGTACCTACTTGAAACATAGTGAGTATTCACGACTCCCCTATTTTTGGGTTTTACGTTTTGAGGTGGAAAAGCATGTCCAAAAAGCTATTTATTATTCATTGTATTTAAAAATGAATTGTATCAAATTTGATTGCTAAATTGTGCTATATTATGCTATGTATGTTTATACATCTTGAAACATGAGGCCTTATCGTCTTAAGTCCCTTCCCTTATACTTTACTCCAACCATTAACTCTTTGAGCCAATGGTCATTATGGATAGCGCTATTAAGAATTGACAACTCCTCACTCGCCTGATTGCTGAAGTGCATGATACCAGATAATCTATGGAACGATAACCATATATCTTGATAGGGCGTCAGTCATAGGCTTAGTTGGGAACTTATTGTTTGCTCATACACATACAAACTTGTTATTTATTATGGCAATAAGCTCGTTTATCAATTATAGCAATCAACTTTGTTTCTCATTATAACAATGAACTTGGTTTCTCATTAAATTACGTACTTGTATTTATGGAAAGTCTTATACCAAATCTTGATTTTATAAACTTGTGAACTCACCAACTATTTTCATAGTTGACACTCGTTTTACATGCTTTTTCAAGAAATAATTAGTAAGTGGGTATAAATATCCATCATCATAGAGCATTTTGTATCGTGTGGAAGTTATTTTATGAAGTTATATTTTGAACAATGTCATTTTGGAAAACTTGTACTTTGTTTTTTCTAAATTATGGGTTGTAAACTTTTAAATATTAATATGGTGATGTATCTTTATCTTTTGTAATGAAACCTTTATCGTTGTCATATCTTGCGTTTCCGCTTTAACGGGGTGTTACTACTTATTCATATCTTTGTCACGTAGAAAACAACCGAGAACTGTCAGTGCTAATGGGAGCCCACCAACATAAGAAACCACATCATTTGAAAGCACCTCATAATCTTCAATATTTTTATCACCCTGGGGTGCATGCTTGCAGAAAAGCTCCATGCCCTCATTATTATTTAACAAGGTAATTTCATGTATCACATTGACTTTTTGAATATATAATAAATGCTTGTCTCTTGTTGTAATTATTATTAGACTTCGTTCACCGAACCAATCATGTGATCCGACTAAAGCTTTGAGTTGTTCAGGGTTATCAACATCATCAAGAACAATCAAGACCTTTTTATGGCACAACCTATCCCTTATCATGCGTCTTCCTCCTCCAACTCTATCTACTCCCATTTTTGAAAGAATATCTTCTTCCAACTTTTGCAAACCAGACTTGCTTGCTTCCTCTCGAATATTTTGAATAAAGCAACAACCATCAAACTGCCTGCAGATTTCATCATATGAGGAAGATGCAAGACAAGAGTAATCTTACCACTACCACTAACCCCCCATATTCCAAGCATGCACACACCACCTGACCTAATTTGTAGCTTTGACTTAAAATCTTGCATACAAGCCACTATTCCAACCACGTTGTCATTCACACTCGAAGTTACTGGATGCAGAGTAGCAAAATTTTCTCAACAATTATTTTGATAAACTTTGATTCATCCCTACACATTGAATATACAGGGATGATCAACACATGCTCCCAATGACAGAAGAGGTAATTCATTTCATGCTTCACGATATAAAGTAAAAGAGTTCTAATTAGCCTTTTCATTTCACACTCAAAATAGAATTTGTAAAGATACTATCATAAGTAGTTTGAAACAATTTTTATTGGGAAACATCAATTGGTTTCAACTTTCACATAGCAAAAACTAAAGCAAGATGATTTTTTCGGGGTAAGTTAAGGTGAGGCATTAAGTACATAATTAGAATTACAACTAGAACTCAATGAAGTCCACCATTAACCTATTTTGAGCTTTCATAACCTTAGATTACAACCAGATCACATTAAGGGGCTAGCTGTTTGTTTACCACTTAATGCCTCTTAAAAGAGGTCAGATCTGAATCTTCAAGATTCAGATTGTTTGTTTAGCTCCTAAAAAAGGATCTGAAAATTAGAAATACATCTAATTCAGTAAGATGTAAAAGGGCATCTGAAAAAAATGCTTATCCTCGTGCCCTCCCAAACTCGTTCATCTCTTCCTCGCCTCCCACAATCGTCTCTACTTCCGACGCCAGTCACAACCCTTTTCCAGCCGTCGCCACCCTCCCACACCTCCTCGCATCGTCGACCCCAGTCCCCATACTGCATCGCCGCCCCGATCGTCGACATCACCACCTCGCATCGTCGGCTCCACAACTTCTGATATCTATTGACTCACACCACCAAGGTTAGACGCGGCGACGCCTAGCTCTGACAGCGCCACCCTCGACAATGCGGTCTCCACCATGCATCCTCCGATCTCCTCTATTGTTCAGGTACAAAATTGATGCCTCCCCTTTTTGGTTTAGTTCTTTCCTGTTCCCAGAATCCGATCGGCACCCACCCCAAATCACACCTCCTTTTTTTAGTTAAATTGTAGCTCTAGGTTCTCACGATTGCAAGTAAGCTTCCAACTTGGTTGTTGATTTATAGTTTGAATGTATGCTTCTTTACATCCTTCCAACTGTATTAAGCATCTGTTGTTTACAGGGTATGAAGTTAATCTTTGGTTCAAGAGGATACAAATATCTTTGGGAGGATCATCTCAGGTATCCAAGCTGGCACCCAGGTCATCAACAATAGAGATGATTGCAAGGTATGTATGAAGAACTTAATTAACATAAATGGTGGATGAAGAAGATGAGAAGATTGCAAGGCTAATGGAAGATATCTATTGCCAGAGCTTTGTGAAGACTAAAATGACGGGTTATTGATATTTGGTAACTTCAATGTTGACATCAATCCATCATTTTGCTGTTAATATGGAAGTTATGTATAAACACACAGGATGTGATTGAATCCTTGATGGGTGTAATGTTTATATTTAGTATTGTTTACATGGGTGTAATGTTTATATTTAGCATCCTACTTTGATGAAAAAATATATTTCACATGTATGATATTCGTTCCTAGCATCCTAGTTTGAGGAAATTTATTTTTTTCAAAGGTCTGATGTTGTAATTGAAAGAAAATGATACAAAGGGTAAAATGGTGATTTTTACATTCAGCACAGCAATTCAGAGGTTCCAACCAAACAACATTTAAAAATCCAGATCTTAAAAATTCAAACCCTCGTAGAAATTCAGACCTCTTAAAAGTTTAGATCTTAAAAATTCAAACCCTCGTAGAAATTCAGACCACTCAAAACCTCTGTTTGTCAACATTATCAAGAATAGCTGAAACATTTGTATATAACAAGCCTATAAGGTACAAGTATAAATTCCTCTGAGAGCACATGTGTCTGAATCATAAAATCAAAAACAAAGAATTTACTTACGTGCTACCATCGTCATTGAATTCCCATCCAGCAATGTTACTTGCATCCACAACTGCTTTTTTCCAAGATTCAACCTTGGTCTGGTTCTGCAACTCATGGTTGACAGATTCGTCTATGTATTTCTAATTCTGTTCTCGTGGTGCAAACAGCCATCCCAAAGGGTTTTCCAAAAATGATTGCCCCCAAGACTTAAGTCTTTTCTTGTTCTCCAACTTATGTTTTGCAAATGCTTCTCCATATTTCCTTTTTTGTTTTCTCAATTCAGAGGGCTTCACACCATAAAATATGGAAAGAACGATTTGGCCTCTCTTATCCTTGCATTCCATGATATGTACAAGTTCATCTAAGCATCATGAAGAATCTGCATAGTTTTTAGATAACACTATGACAACAATCTGTGATTCTTCAATAGCCTTAATAAGGGATGGACCGATTGATGAGCCGCGAGGAAGTTTTTCATCGTCCGTGTAAGTATGGATTCTTTTTTGTTCAAGAGCTGAGTACAGATGGCCCACAAAATTAGTGCGAGTATCTTCTCCTCTAAAGCTGATAAAAACATGGTGCTCCCATGACCGAGAAGAAAAGGCTGTAGCAGAAGGAGAAGATGATGATGCCATAGAAATGTTAACTTTTTGGGATATATAGAATGTATGTGGTTTGAGGACTTCAGTTAAGTGAACTACATAAAGAGAGAGAGAGAGATAGAGTGTGTGTGTGTGTGTATGAGGTTTGAGCATGTCAATGGAATGATCTATATACACAGATAAAGAAGTTAGTTTCCAAGAAATTTCCAGCTATTGAAAACCTCAAGAAATTTCTTACCACGTGATATATTCAATATAAAGTGTGTTGTGTTCACGTTGATGATTTGTTAAGATAATATATATATATATATATATATATATATATATATATATATATATATATATATAGAGAGAGAGAGAGAGAGAGAGAGAAAGAAAGAGAAGTGAGTTTCCAAGATATTTCCAATCAACCAAAAGCTCAAGAAATATCTTAACATTTTTCAATACAAAGGGAGTTGTTTACACATTGATGATGTCTTCCTCATAATCAATGATTTTTGAAGTACCAAAACATGCTATTTGACCTCTTATCCATTGCTTTTTATATTGTCTCAAAAATCCTTCTTTGAGCAATCCATTTGTACAAAAACAAATCCATCTCACCACTCTGTTTATGTGTGTGGGTAGAAGTAGAAGATTCCAATATTCTTGTACCTTGAGCATTGGTAGATTGTACCTCCGAATCACTCAACCTTTACCTATTGTCAAGATTTTGATGGAGATGTATAAACATGCGCTTGTGTGTGTGGGACCCAGCTAGAGGAGATGTGGCTATCATGTAAAAGCCAACAAAACGAGCCACGACGCCAATAAGTAAGAACGATATCCAAAATCAAAATCAAAACGTTAGCAACCTAATTGAAACCAAAATCTTAGCCTAAACCCCTAAAACAAAATTAAACCCAAATAGAAAACGAATTGTTTGTGCTTGTGGAACCCCAAAATGTGCGTTTTTTCTTTATGTAAGGATAGAGGGCGGTGGATCCTACCTCTAATAATGTTGCTTCTTGCTTCTCCATTGTTTCCTCGTACAGTGCCTTATGAGGCAGCAACATCTATTTTCTCCGGTGATGCTGCCTTCCTTCCCCCAGTGATCTGAAAAAAAAAATACAACCTCAATTTGTAAGCATTTAAAACACACACACACACACAAAAATACACTAGAACTAGGCGGTGAAGTCCTCACGTCATCTTCTCTTCCATCTTCTTTTTAGCTTACTCAACGCCCATCGCCATCTCCTCGATCTTCACTGACTCACGTTGTCGCGTCGATTAAATTTCTCGTCGCCGTCTGTTATCTGCCGTTGTTGGACGGAGAAAGTTAAAAAGGGAACCACATATGGGTGCTTGGGATTCCTTTTTAGTATTTGTTTGATTTTTAACTTTTCAAAAAAGTTAAAAATTATTAAAAGTTGTTTGGCAAAATAAAAAGATCAAAATCAAATTGTACTAAGAAGAAAAAGTTGGCTGAAGAAAAGGGGTGATAATTGTTGACACGACACGACAAAAATACACGACACGAAACGAAATTGGGACGAAACTGAAATTCGAATTCGTGTTCGTGTTAAGTGTAAAAAACATGATGTCGTGCCATGTCATGTTCGTGTTTAAAATTCGACATGAAATTGACACGATTTAGCATTTATTTGCCGTGTTTTCGTGTTTGTCGTTTTTTTCTTGTTATCTATAATTAAATATTAATTAAATAAACTATTTTTTTATTATATTGTGTTTTGTCGTGTCGTGTCGTGTTTATCGTTTTTTAATCGGTTCGTTTTCGGGTTAGTTAAAAAAAACACGACATCGTGTCGTGTCGTGTTCGTGTTACATAAAACATTGTCGTGTCGTGTCGTGTCAGACAAAAACACGACACGATGACCCGATTTGCCACCCCTAAGAAAAGATAGAAATTCTTATTTTTTTGTGACTTTTAGCTTTTATCACTTAAAAATCATAAAAAACAAGCTAAACACATTTTAAACATAATATTTTAGAAAAAGTTCTTCTACAGAAAGTCCTTTTATAAAAAGGACTTTTATGTTTAAAAAAAATCCCAAACACACCCTTGATGTCATTGGTGTATCCGGTTGGGTAAAAAGTTAAAAAGGTTAAAAAAATATAAACAAAATTACATAGTTGTTGTGGTATACCAAAATTTTTAATTTCAGCCCGTGTTAATTGTTTTTAATGAATATAATCTTTATGGTTTTTAAAACTTACATGATTAGTCTCTAAACCACATAAAATTATGTTTTTTTCCTTTACTATTTTTTTTTGTATTTTTTCCTTAATTAAATTTAACCTAAAAATATTTAAAAAATAAAATAAAATGCACCCCACCCTACCAGACACTCTAAGACTCAAGAATGTGGCTCGACATTAAGCATATCAAAGGAGTGGCAAACTTGGCATACATCGCCCCCTCATGGTGGCATGCCATGTTAGTTGAGCTCAAATGATGTTCTAATGCCTAAAAGAAAGAGAAAGATTGAGAGGTGAGAGAGAATCCCAAGATGTATTATTTTTATGTATGTTAGGTGCATTTCATGTACCCATTTTGTAGCTTTATTTCATAAAAGCACATTGCATTTAGCCTTAAACTCATGCATTTTGCATGTTTTTCGGGATTTTACATGAGACAATTTCATTCAAATACTTTTGTGATATTTAAGGGACTTTTGGAGGTAGGATATTGTTGGAGGAGGTAAATAAAAGTTGCGGACAAAATTTCAGGACTTGCGGAGCACCGAGGAGCAAGATATCAAAGAAATGAAGATTTTGGCTTTATAGAGATTTACACGGCCGTGTAAATGCAAGCCTTGCGTTTACGCGGGCCGTGTAAACGTAGATTTCTGTGCAGTATATTTTTGCGTTTACGTGGGTTGTGTAAATGACAGTGTTAATTTACGCGGGCCGTGTAAACGTAAACGTGGGTTTTAAAGCAGTTGTCACCATTCTTAAAAGGGGGAACCGACTTTTTACTAAGGTGGGTCGACTTTTGGAGTAGAGAATGCGATTTTCTTGAGGATTTTGAAGTTGATTAACACTTGGGAACATTTGATTTTCATTTTGTAAGAACTTTAATTTCATTTTCTAGATTTGTGATCTTGTTCTAGTTATGAGTGGCTAGAACCCTAGATTCTCCAACTTTATGCCTTGACTTCTAGTTGTGATTTCAATCATATGACTTGATGTTTTCTTTCAATTTTCTATCTAGTGAATTTGATTTTGTTTCAATCGAATGTTTGATTCTAATTGTGATTCTTATTGGCTATTTGAATT